TTTTGTATACTATTCTTTTTTGGGCATAAATTTTGTTATTTGAAATAAATTTAATGATATCTATGTTATGGGTTATCATGGAGTCTTTTGAGTTGTGATATATTTGTAAGCATGGTATGAATCGGGTTTCTTTACCTACACTGATTATATATATGGAGAAGAAACTGAAAATATTAAAAAACATGACTGGTTTCATCAAGAAATGAATGAAATTATTTCAAACTGTTAACACAGACACGTTGCTTTGAAAAATGTGAAAAAAAAAAAGAAACAAAAGATAGATTGGTCGATCTCAGGGGCATCCAAGATAAACAGCAAGCGATTTTGAAAAAAATGCTGTGTAAAACAGGGTGTAAATAAAAAGTCATTTTTTATATATATTAAAAAGTTCTTTCAAAAATATTTAAAATTGAGCACTCTTATAGATGTAAGAAAAAGAATATACAAATAACACACACACTCATATATATATATATATATATTTGAGGAGCAATTTTTAATTTATGCAAGTTTGGTTGAAGACCAATGAAACAATACGTATACTTTGCTACCATGTCCATTTTGCCAGTGGCTTATGTAAGCAGAACAGAAAATTCTTAGAAGACATTGGAATTAAAAATGGTCTGAACCATAAAAAATAAAAAAAATTGTTGGCTTTTAATTAAACTTGTGTGTGTATGTGGTAATACAATTGGTAACAATTTCACAACCCATTTCATGTCGAAATGCTTTACAACCTCTCAAAGTTCTAAGTTTTAGCAGAAGTTATTCTAAATTTCTTATATATTCTACAACAGTCTTTGTTAACACTAATCCACACACACACGTGTGCATGTGTATGCACATGGTGCAATCTATAGCAGCTTGGAGTGAGAAATTAAAAAGCCAAGTTCGAATTTTAGTCGAGTTTGTTATATTCACTTATGTACAAATAAGCTTGAGAAAGATATGACTCCATCTCTGAAGCTATGGGCTAATTCTTAGGATAAAATGGTGCTCTTTATTCTATAATCAAATCATATGGGCAGGTAGTTTGACAGTTCAGTTTTAGGAGTTGTTGGACCCTCTTATGTTGAAGACAACAAGAGTCTATCATATGTGTGTGTGTAAAAAAACATAACACACACACACAGAGACGTAAATGACAATTTTTCTCCTTTGTCATGTTTTCCCAACTTTCACAAAAACAAAATCTACATTGTAAAGACAAAACATGATTCATGTTAAGCACCTAAGTGTTTAATTTTTACTTTAACTGCATTATTATTGAATTTATATTTTAACTAATTTCATTATTTTTCAAATTTTATCATTGTAAAGCAGTTAATTTTTCATCAAAACTAAGAGTCTAAGAAATAGAATGTAAACAATGTCCCCCAAAATATTTCTGTAAAACATCACAAAATTTAATAAAAAGTAAATAGGAACATAAAAAGGACTGAAAATTAAGCAACACACTCAAGGACAACAGAAACCTTTGTGATCACAATTTTGACCTGGAAAATGGTATTTTAATAAAAGGTGAGTATAATTTACTCAGAAGAAAATGCATTCAAAGTACTATGTTCTCAGAGTCCCTCACTATTGACATATAACTGGACTATTTCAGTTTATTCTCTGTTCTTACTAAATCAGTTCTGAAATAATATGAGATACATAAACAAAAAAAAAAAACACAAAATTATGTAAAGAAATAAAATTAAAAGAACAAATTGAAATTATTTATACTATTTACATTATTCAAACTGTTGTCCTCATCTTTATTGTCACATTCACATCATTTTGCCATTCTACCATCCAGCCTTCTGCAGGTGATATTTGTTTGAATTTCAAATCTAACCTAGAATAGTCAATCTGTATGTTGGTGATTCTGAAGATTGGTTCAATGACATTTGTGTAAAAAAATAAAAAAAAATAAAAAAAATGTGATTTTCTTCAAATGAAGGTTACAACGGCAAAAATGTGAATATGACAATTAAAATGAGGACAACAGTCCAAACAATGTAAATAATATAAATAGTTATACTACCTCATCTCAGAAATATAGACAGAAGTCCAAATTAGTTAAAAACTAATTTCTGTAACAATAAAGTAAAAATCAAATGTTCAACTTTTTAACATTAATCACATTTTATTTTGCTAATGTAGATTTTGTTCTTTTTGTGAAATAAAATCCTCTTTCTGATGATGCTAGTTCATCAGCAAAAAATGTCAAAGTATAAATTTTTATAGTTGTCTTATACCAAGAATTCTTATCCAACTTTATTATGGATGGATTCTCAGTAAATTTTTAAAAGTTTTTACTAAACAACCTGCACGAGTGACTTGTTTAAAGTGGTCAATTCCCCATGCCCTGCAATGAACACTCTTCAGTTTGCCCTGTTATTCTCCCGAAAGATGGATTCATGCTTTTTGCAAGGGCATGAATCCATGAGAACAAAACAGAATTTGAACTTGGCTTACAAATTATACTTTCCACAGTGACAACTGCTAAACTACATGGATATCCATATATGTATATTTGCAATAAAAACAGACTAGAGGTCAGGATTAAGAATATATACCAGGCAATATTAAGAAAAGAAATTTGGATAATTTAATGAAGTGTATCAAGTAGATCTGGGTTAGTGATAGCTGAATATTTGTTAAATAATCACCAGTGTACATGGACCTCTAACCAAGACAGTCACTGGGTAATGAGGAAGAGTCATTCAGATTTCCATCTTAAGGTCAGAGACATATATATGTATTATCCCACCCTCTGTAAGCAGAAGGAGTGGCTTTTAAACCTAAACATTGTCAGCCTTTGATGATCATATATTTAATATATATAACATCCAGTGTTTCCATTTTATTCACTATGTACATTATTCTATTCTCATTAGAGCTATGATGAGAAAGGAATGAAAACCAATTAACTTTTTGTTTTGCTTCATTTACCTTTTTATGTATTAGTAGAATCATCACAATTCAACCACTTTGATTGGTTTAAACATCTTGGTACTTGTATATTTCATATATTGCCTGTTATAATATTTCTTAGGTCTTCACATAATGTATATAATATTTATATACATTGTATAAGTTCCAAAGGTTGTCATAGCTGGAAGTGATAGTGAGGACAAGCTCACTGTCTATAAAATACTTCCGTGGCATGCATCTCAAATAGTCTGACAACTAAGTCCAGCTTCAAGCCAGAAGATAGGCGAAAGTGGAAAACTGGCACCTCATAACTAGCTGTTTTGGGTTGATGGAGCTTGACAAACCAAGAAGACAATCCATCTAGCGGAAGGAAAATCCTGATTTTAAATCTCTGCTGCCTTGCAGTCATATCCAAAACAGAAAAAGCTATAGAAGTAAATCCAGACAGAAAACCTGGTGTGGAGCCTTGAGAGCAGTTGGCTACCAGCAGTGACATCTTTCCGGCAAATCCTGCAGCCAAACCATCCTTAAATGTAATACCCTGTATTCTGTTGGATCTTGTTGATACAGCAGAGATGCGGGGGGGGGGTGTAGTCTGGGTAGTGCACAGCCTCCATATACCATCACCCAGGACCATGCCTTGAAGAGGTCACTCTAGTTTTACCACCAAAGCGTTGAATTTTGACCAAACAGGGTACTATCTTTATCCCATGAGATAAACGATGTCAATTTGGTCTTCAAATATAACTATTAAAAAAATATCAATGTTACTTCTTTTTATATATTTTTTACTTTGATTTACTTTCATGCTGGGACCTTAATGCTTAGGTTGTTACCACTTTCAAAGCAGTAAATGGTTTTATTTTAATAACTAGGCAATTATAAAAGCCATAACAAAAAATAACTTATAAGATTGCAAAATAGTAGATTAGAAATGGATAACAAAACAGCTTTTTTAAAAAAATGAATTTTTAAAGCTGGATATTCAAATAAGACATCTCCATTAAACAAGAACCACTAAGTTTGGTAAGATATAAGACACATACTGGTAGATATACCGTCAATTGCAACGTACAAGTCAACCCCAAGAATTTTGGCTCAAAATTCTGAGTTCGACCTATACTTACCGTATAAATAACTGTTACAATGATAATGACTCTTTTCAAAATTATAAATATTATCAACATTTGTTTTGTTTTTCTGGGTTTTTTTAATATTTGTTTCCCACAATTCCAAAAAAACAAATATTCTGCATTGTATTTAAAATCTGGAGAGAAAAATGTCATTTTTTTCTTCTGGATTTTTGTTTTTCTTGACCAGTTCATTTATCTTTGGTTTCATATGTATTCAGATTCAAGTTCATCACAAAAGAAAAAAATATAAAAGAGAAAACAATACTAATATTTATGCATCCTTACTCATCTACACATAAACATACACACCCACCTCAAATGAATTCAGTTAAACTATATTTGGTTTTGTTTTGTGTATTTTACACTTGTTTCCTGCAATTCCAAAGAGACAAATTATTTTGCATTGTATTGGGAATCCAGAAAGATTAATGTCTTCTTTTTTTATGCTTCTAGGATTTTTGTTTTTGTTTGACCAGTTCATTTTTTTTTCTTAGATTTAAATTAATCTTCATGGCAGAAAAAAAAGAAAAAATATAAAGAGGAAACAATAATAAAATTAATGCCTTTATAATTGCTGCTCTGTACACATTTGCCTATAAACACGCATACACACCAACCTCAAATGAATGCAGTTAAACTGTACAAACATGAGTGAGAAATAACAAAAAAAATCATAAAAAATAACATACCAGTTTAAAAATGCATAAAGAAGTTTTACAAAAATAAATATTAGATATGTGCAAATGTTTCCAACACTCCATTAAAAAAATTTCAGTACTTTGTTGAAAACTGTTCTACAAAAAAAAAAAAAAAAAAACGGATATTTTTTGCACACATCTTCTCTATAAAAAATATGAGGCCAGGCAAAAAAAAAAAAAAAAAAAATAAGAAAAAAAAACCGAAGAAAATAGAAAAAAAAGCAAGGTATTTGGGATCTTGGCAGTCCTAGATGGTGCCAGACAATGTAGCCCCTGACCTTACAGCTTTCACCCACTGTAATCTGTGACCATGAAGGCGAAATTTAAGTAACCAGATTGACATTTGAATAATGGCACATGCTAAAGGGACATAAATCAAGATATTGAAGCAGGCCAGGCGAAGACTGGAATCACTTGAGGCATTGGACAATGGAAAAGATGATGGATGTTCTCCAATTGTTGGGGAAAACATGTCATAACCTGAAAAAAAGTAATAATAATAGTAATCAATTTTCTTTGAATTGCTTTCTCATGCTAAATAAGTAACATTTTCTATTTTATGTTGGCAGCAAAGCAATAGTTGAACCTTCTTACCAATAATCCATATATTTTTCTCTTTTCACTGTTAGAGAGCAGCTGAGCTGCAGTCTAGTAAAATGACATCTGACATGAAAATACAAACAAAGCAAATATGTCTATGCAGAAAACATTGCATCCATTGACATTCACCAACACACACTTGCTGAATAATTACAGAGAGCAAATAGTGGATGTGAGCACAGCTAGATGGTCAACAATGAGTTTCAACATTTTCTTTGATATATGCTGTGATTACTGCAGTGAAAAAGAGGAATGCAAATTTTTATGGGCATTATAGAGAGGCTCTTGATTATTACAGAGGGAATCAGTAGAGCCAATTGTAATAACTATACTGTTTTTTCTGTTTTATTAGCATGAAGCCTATAAGCTTGACAAGCCTCAGTTTAGTTAAAAAATTAAGCATAAAATGTGCCTCTGAGTTTTTTAATGCAACTTTATTTTATAGTAAAATGTCAACTTTCTTAAATTTTGAAATGGTGTTTCTCAGTAAATCTCTGCTGTTTGTGCTTTTAAATTTGAATTTATTCCCACCAAAAAAAAAAAAAAAAATATAGATGTTTTTTTTACATAGGACTAGCGAGCAAACTGTAAACAAAACAGAATTCCACCTACTAAATTTAAAACTAACCTCCTCAACTTATGAAAAATAAATCTAACTTTCATTAAGGTCATATTTTAAACAAGTTAACATGAAATAAGGTTCAAACTTGAGAATTTGCTTAGCATTACCAGGTTCATTTAAAATTACTGATGCTAAAAAGTCTATGTGCAAAAATATATCTGTTGTAGTTTTGGTGGATGGAATTAAACAGGTGGCATTATTTTCAGAGCACTCCTTGCATAGCAAAACATTTTGACTGGAATTGTTTTAATTATTTATTTACTTTCTACGCAAAACAGAATCATGTTTATTTATTCCTCAGAAGCTTCTTTCCTCTGACACTCATCGTTAGAATTTCTTCAGATCAAAGCATTAAAACCACAAAGGAGCATGTCGTAATGAATGCTATATATCAGACAACAGAATTAAACAACTATATCAACATCTGTTGTTTTTGACACCCAAATTTTATTTCATGTTTTTCATTTGCTTACACTAATTGTTAAATAATAATATATGTATACATTATATAATAATAAATGTCAGTAACTGAATGACAAAATGGAAAAAAAAAGGTATTTTACGTGTTTTGTCCGTTGAAAAGCTTTCTTCAGATTAATAATGATTTAGTGATAGAGTCTTATATATGTGTGAAAGGGGAAGGAATACAACAAATGTAGGTTACATCAAGAAACACTGAAGATACATGGATGCTTAGATTTAGACTTATTTTTTTTTAATTTCTGGTGTCTGATGTATTTGGATGCATCAAAGAACAAAATGCATAATGTAGTTTGTTTTTTTTTTATCATTCAGTTACCCACTGTTAGATTGGAACACAGATTTGGATATCAACAAGGCCTCCAGATTAACTTTTTTCATCATCATCCTGGAACTAACCAAAAAAAATTTAAACTAACACAAAATCAAAATTGATTTTAAAAACTTTGTTATCATTTATGGTTGTTAGTAATGTAATAAAGACAACATTAAAATGATTAGGAAATAATCTGTCTATATTTCTGAGATGAGGTATTATGTACAGTATTTACATTATTTGGACTATTGTCCTCATCTTTGTCGCCATATTTGTCACAACGTTTCGGCCGTTGTACGCTCCGGCCTTCTTCAGGTGGTTGGAATTTCGAACTGAACCCTTTATTTCGATCACTGGGATAGACTGTTCTAGTTCTACGTGCCATGTTTGATGGATGTCAGTTATCAGTTATCTCCTGCTAATTTTCCCTCTGAAAGTTCTACACTGCCTTAACCAGGTATTAGTGGATAAAGGTGTTGGTTAGATCCAGTGACAGACCCAAAGAGTGTGAGTTCAATACCCGGTTAAGGCAGTGTAGAACTTTCAGAGAGAAAATTAGCAGGAGATAATGGAAGATTTATAAATGTGTAAAAGAAAGATTCTGTCAAGAAAAATTATCTAGCATGATACAGTGAACCAACTTTACCAGCAGCAGACCTAGCAATTGATTCAATATAATCTTTCCACTTCATGTTAACAGAAAATGTTAGACCAAGAAAGTGCAATGAATCACTCTCCTGGTGGTTAGTCTGTTCATATCTAAGACACTTCATATCTATTTATCCAGTGCAGTCAGCAGTTGACTTGAAAATCATTCTATAAGCTGCTTTTTTTCTTACTGTGTTTCAGCCAACTTATTCCATAGGCTTTTTCTAGGCATACAACCAGTAAAGAAAGAGTGGTGTATATTGGTGGTGAAGACAAAAAAAAAGTGATATGAAATACTCAAGCTTGATCTCTCTCTCTCTTTTATTCAATCAATATTTGATTATGGAATGATAAAGTGCTCCATGTATTGACTGGCTTCTTTCAAGGGTGGCAATGGGCATCACAGCTTGTTTTGTTACTACTTCCTGAGCAATCTAAGTTATTGGTAAGTGACTTACCTATGTTCTCTTTCTTTATCAATCAATATACTATGATAGTAAAGGAACCTTTTTATTTAGATATTTGGCAATATCCATAATGCTGTAGAAGTGGATTGATTCAAACCAAATATCTCAACTTTGCCTATAAGACATGGAGACATTTTCTGAGTCAATTCTAGGGTAAAAAAGTGCTTTGAAATGTCATCAAATATGTCAGTTGGCATTTTGTGACATCCCTAGTCACTAGTGACCAGAAATGTGGTGAAGTTTAGAATATATTGACTGCAACCCCTGCAAATGAATAAGACACCCTACCAATTGGTTCATCCACCAAGTCATTTCTTACAAACTTAAATTTAAACAACCAATATTTACCTATTGTTGAACCAAGTAACTGCTTACAGAATCAAATATAAAAAATCAATATTATCCTATTCTCAAACTAAGTAAATGCTTACAGGCTCAAATATAAATAATCAATATTTACCTATTCCTGAACCAAGTAAATGCTCACAGACTCAAATATAAACAACCAATATTTAACTATTCTTGAATCAAGTAACTGCTTACAGATTCAAATATAAATAATCAATATTTACCTATTTCCAATGAAGTAAATACTTACAGACTCGAACATAAATGAGTAATATTTTTTTTTATTAATGAGCCAAGTAAATGCTTATAAACTCAAATATAAATTACCAATATTTATCTTAACCATTTTTCACTCCAATAACCATTATGTTACTCTCACATTCTCTGGAATGGTTTATGGAGCAGACAGAAATGGAGTAGCATGAAAATTATAAGACATTAAAATTCTTTATGGAGAGACAAAGCTAAAAAACGATAAAAAAAAAAGAGGAGAAATCAGAAAATATTTGTGCATACCTTATTCTTATTTTTTTTTTTTGCATGTGAAAGTAATCAATGTCTGTATAACATTTAATTAAAAATACAGGTGGATAACAAACATTGAAAGAAATAAGGGAGAAAATGAGAAGATACAAGCACAAGGTGAGAGTAGCTCAGTTTTCAATGCCTGATGAATTTCTATGGACCCAGCTAGTATTTTAATATTTGGTAGCTTATCAACCTGGGTATATTTCAAATGACTACCTATTTCTTTTTTTCTCTAATGTTTTCTGATATGTGGGTAGAATAGAAATTATTGACACAGAAAATGGAATCAGCAAGCTGAGTTCAAATTCTGGCCAATGCTGTTGTGTTCACTTTCACAAATAACCTTGGGAAAGGCATACCTCTATCACTTCTCCTCCCAACTATAGTTTAAATAGCAAGGTAGACTGAGTTGTCTAGTCCTGAATAGCAACCAGTCTAAGAGGAGGACAACTCTGAATTCAAAACAATAGAGAAAGCAATAGGAAACCTGTTTTTCCAAAGAAGTTATAGCAATTCATAGATAATAATGGTAATATTAACTGTTTCTTTATAAGGAAACATTCAAGAAAAAGGAATCTGTGGAGAGCCATGATTACTTATATCCTGAAGGAACATAGCATTTAAAAAAAGAAGTTAAACAAGGTTTCCAATAACAGAAACATCCGATCTATATGGAAAAACTATTTTGACTGTTGCTTCACAAATTCTTTAAAAAAGGGCAAGCAATAACTAAACAGTACTAAATATGAACTGGACAAGATATATCTAGATAAAGTCAGCATAACTAGAATAATCTACCTCCATAGATTAAATAAAGGGTCCAGTTCAGTATTCCATGAATCAAAAAAGACCTGATGATAGTCAAAGGGTACAACTGTTGAAAGAGTGTGAGAACAACAACAAAGATGAGGACAATAGTAAATAATGTAAATACAGATTGAGAATCCTTTAACCGAAATTCTTGGAATCAAAAGTGTTTCAGCTTTCAGATTTTTTTTTTGATTTTGGAAAGCAGGCTATTTAATTTGTATGTAGCATCTATAAAATGGGTCAGCTTAAGAATGGAACCAAAGCATAAACACAATATCGCTTTACATTTCATAACACAGTTTATACATATACCCTGAAAGTAGTTTTATATAAATAACATATATCCTATAAAAAGTTTTATATAAAATTTAATAAATTATGTGTACATACAGATACAGGTAATGGCGCTAGTCATGTAATACTCACACAGATTTTCAAGTGGTGAAATTAAGATTTCATGTAAAAATGTTTTGCACTTTTCATATGCATACAAAAAAACATGATCACTACTTACAAAAATAATTCAGGACTTTTTGACATTTTGAATATCTTTACTGAGCATGAAACACCTGGTAAGTAATCTATGAACTAAGGTGTTGCTGTGACGATCACTAACAAAAAACTGGTGCTAATGTAGACTACATAGCTGGGCTGGTGAACC